TAGTCAGCGATGGCGTCAGCTGACTATGCCGAGGCGCCGGCAACCACAGCCACTCGGTCTTGGAAGGGTTGAGCCTGAGTCTGTTTCTCCCCATCCAGACCCGTACGGCCTCCAGGCAACGGGCCATCACGTCAAGGGCATCGTTGGGGTGGCCCGGGGTGGAAATGTACAGCTGCGTATCGTCAGCGTACTGATGGAAATCCACCCCAAAGCCACGAATGATCTCCCCCAGCGGCTTTACATAAATATTGAACAATAGGGGGGAGAGGACTGACCCCTGAGGCACCCCACAAGTTAGGGGCCTAGGAGTCGACCTCTGTCCCCCTGTCCCCCTGGTCATTTGCATGCTCTTAGAGAGTCGTTGAGGCCACCTGGATGTCATCTATGTCAAAACTGAACAGCCCTCTCTAAACAGAGGGGGAGGGATAGGACACCATCTATCTCCAGTCTCTGTTGGAGTCCTTTCAGCGGTTCCAAGAAGGCTCCACGCCCATTTGCACCACTCAGGTGACCCCGAGGACATAGCTAAGCCTCCAGGTGGCCTCAACGACCCTCTAAGAGAAGGCAAATGACCAGCTGTCTGCAAGGAATATAAATCCTTCCATTCCCCACCATCCAGTCAGAGCTGAAGAAGCTTCTGGGATGAGAAGCAAAACATCTTCAAAGAAAAACAAGAAAGTCCAGTGGCCTCCTGAAAAAGCATCTTTGGGGTTCCCGTTGAGAAGCTAGTGTTACATCTGACTCTCCGTTCTTAAAGTTTCATCCCACTCATTGGAGACTTCCCCTCTGGATCAAGTGAGAATCAAATCCAAACCGTCTTCAGAAATCTGGAGACAGCTTTCGTGTCTCCTCTCAACCTTGTCTTTGCGAGCTAAACAACCACAACCACAAATCTTGTTTACTTGAAAAGGAACTCGCAGATAGAAGCTTTGAAAGGATGCCAGGGTCCGGCCATCAAATCTTTGGGGATATGTATCCACTCAGCAGCTTCTTCTGAGGTCCGGCCAAACCATGGTTTGTTGTCAGGAGAGCCTGTTGTGGTTGGCCTGAAGCGTCCTAAGATGCATTGTCGTTCTTTGAGGTGCGAAGGGAAGCAATCTTCAAATTGGAAGGAGATGACTATCCCCCAAGACTATCCTACTTCGTGCCGGTGGCATCCAGAGGCCAACTGAAGATGGGCTGGCAGGAAGTAAGAAGATTTGCAAGTAAAGCAGATAAAGTTGATGATCAGGAATAATCGTAATAATAATAATAATAATAATAATAATAATAATAATAATAATAATAATAATAATAATAATAATAATAATAATAATAATAATAATAATAATAATAATAATAATAAAAAAAAAAAGTTGGAAGGGACCTTGGAGGTCATCGAGTCCAACCCCCTGCTCAAGCAGGAACCCTACACCATTTCAGACAAATGGCTGTCCAGTCTCTTCTTAAAAACTTCCAGTGTTGGAGCATTCACAACTTCTGGAGGCAGGTTGTTCCACTGGTTAATTGTTCTAACTGTCAGGACGTTTCTCCTTAGTTCTAGGTTGCTTCTCTCCTTGATTAGTTTCCATCCGTTGCTTCTTGTCCTGCCTTCAGGCGCTTTGGAGAGTAGCTTGACTCCCTCTTCTTTGGGGCAGCCACTGAGATCCTGGAAGACTGCTATCGTGTCCCCCCTTGTCCTTCTCTTCATTAAACTAGACATACCCAATTCCAGCAACCGTTCCTTATATGTTTTAGCCTCCAGTCCCCTAATCATCTTTGTTGCTCTTCTCTGCACTCTTTCTAGAGTCTCAACATCTTTTTTACATCGTGGTGACCAAAACTGGATGCAGTATTCCAAGTGTGGCCTTACTAAGGCATTGTAAAGTGGTATTAATACTTCACGTGATCTTGATTCTATCCCTCTGTTAATTCAGCCCAGCACTGTGTTGGCCTTTTTGGCAGCTGCAGCATACGGCTGGCTCATATTTAAGTGATTGTCCACTAGGACTCCGAGATCCCTCTCACAGTTACTACTATTGAGACAATATCAATTGTGAATATGTACAGATGGCCCCTCTGTCTTTGGGCACTTGCAGAGTCCTGGATGCAGGGTCATGAAAGGACAGCAAGGACCACACCCAATGTCCTAACCCACCCGAGAACTTACGATATCTTTAGGGAAACACCCAAATGGGAACATGTTTAGCTACTTCTGCTTTCTCCCTTCTTATCTACAGTGTGGCAGACTTACTGGGTGAAATATTTATCTTATGCGTGTCAGCTTTGCTGGATGGGTTGCTTGTGTAATCAGAAAGAATAAATACAAGGATTTCTTGTCATTTAGAGGAGTCCGTCTCTATTCAGCTGAATAAAAACGTCAAGCTTGAAGGCAACTCCTGGTTTCCTGTATTTCTTTATCAAGCAAAACCTCAGAACCTGCCTATCAAAGTGGAAGCTCACAAATGTTTGATAAGCCATGACATCTCTCAGCATCCTGGGCCAATCTTGCTAGAATTTAGATGGTGTCACAGAGTGGCTGCAAAGAGTGGGACGTTTGGGAGTTGAAGTCCACCCAACGTAAAGTTGCTGAGGTTGAGAAACACTGCTCCAGAGCATGGACATGGGCAAACCATGGCTTCTGTATGACCTGTGGACTTCAACTCCCAGAATTCCTGAGCCAGCATGATATACTGTAATCAATCGATCGATTGCCCTCTGGAATGAGATATGTGGAGATTTCCCACAGAGGCTCACCTGAGGTGCTTTTGAGCAAGCAAGCTTGGCATCCATTCCTGCCTACCCCTTGTTGGAAGAAAAATCTTCATCAGGGTCCAGGCCAAGCCGGGAATGAATAAACATGGAGACCGCTTTAGAAAGAAGGTTGCAGTTTATTGAAGAGGAGAGCCAGACAGAAAGATGGCTCTCGGAAAAACTGACCACATGGAGCAGGGAGTGGTGGGTTTTTATACCTTCTGGGGCTCTTGGGATTGTTCCCTGTTCCCTGTTTGAGGCTTTGTATTTCCTATGTCATGAACTTTGACCTGAGTCTGAATGTGCCCTTTTGACATCTGTGGGTTAATCCTATTATGTCCTGTCTTAGAGTTTATAATAATAATAATAGTAAAGTTGGAAGGGACCTTGAAGGTCATCTAGTCCAACCCCCTGCTCAGGCAGGAAACCCTATACCATTTCGGACAAATGGCTGTCCAGTCTCTTCTTAAAAACTTCCAGTGTTGGAGCATTCACCGCTTCTGGAGGCAGGTTGTTCCACTGGTTAATTGTTCTCACTGTCAGGAAGTT